TTTTTTAAACTTACCATACTTGACCCTGCAACATAAATTATTTAGCAAGCCATCCTTTTCTTCTTGAATCACTCTTCTGTCTTGGCTTCCTTTGGCAAGCTTTACTCCTTGGTGGTTTTACTCTTTCCTTTCTGGCCCCTCCCAAGTGGCAGTTGGAAGGACTGGGAGACAAACAGTTTGGGGAACAGTGGTTAGGAAGTTTTACATCTGAAAGGCCATGAGCCACCCCCAGGAGAGACATCAGGAAGGCAGTTGGTTGTACTGTCATCAATTTATGGAGGCGTTTAAAGTCCCAGGAAGGAATATGGTCATGCAGGAAGACAAAGTAGAAAAAGAAGTAAATAGAATTTATGGCCTCTGAAATTTGAGGTTCCATAGAGGAGAGGAATCCTACACAAAAGACTGGAGAGGAAGAATCTCAAAAATGTGAATGGAGGCTCGGTGCCTGTGGCTCAAGTGGCTAAGGTGCCAGCCACATACACCCAAGGTGGCGGGTTCAAGTCCAGCCCAGGCCCACCAAACAACAATGATGGCTGCAACCCAAAAATAGCCGGGCGTTATGGCGGGTGCCAGTGGTCCCAGATACTTGGGAGGCGGAGGCAGGAGACTCACTTGAGCCCAGGAGCTGGAGGTTGCTGTGAGCTGTGGTGCCACAGCACTCTACCCAGGGGAATAGCTTGAGGCTCTCTCTCAAAAAAAAAAAAAGGTGAATGGAGAATAGCACACATACATAAAATTGTAACTGAGGGTTGGGGGAAAACAACCCACAGATAGAAAAGAATTAGAAGGCAGGCAATGTTTTGTACAATTTTAAACTAACATATTACAGGCTGTGGCTGTAATATGGCACAGTGGCTCATGCCTGTAATCCCAGCCCCATGGGAGGCCAAGCCAAGTGGATTGCTTGAGCTCAGAAGTTTGAGACCAGCCTGTGCAAGAGTGAGACTCCATCTCTAAAAATAGTCTGCTGGGCTCTGCACCCCATTGCTCAATGGTTAGGGTGCCAGTCACATACACTGGAGCTGGCGGGTTCGAACCTGGCCTGGACCTGCTAAACAACAATGACAACTGCAACAACAGCAACAAAATAGCTGTTGTGTTAGGCGCCTGTAGTCCCAGCTACTTGGGAGGCTGAGGCAAGAGAATCCTTACGTCCA